AGATTCAAACTTCATTATCTAGCCGCTAACCCTCACCCTTGGGATTTCTTCTCTGTTATTTAAATTTCAAATCTTTCTTTTCTTCCCTAAAGCAATTTGAAAAGCTGGACCAATTTAAAAGTTTCAGTGAAAGGGAATTACCTTGAGATCAGCCCTTAGTATGCCCCAAACACCTTTCTCTCTTTACCTAAAAGCTTCAGTTTCTAAAGTTAATTTTGCCCTATTGACTAAAGAACTCTTGTTTTAAACCTTGTACCCACTGGTTCTTAACAGTTATTCTAATTATTCGCATTTATGTTAAACGTTCACATATTTACTAAAATGCGTCAGTAAACAAAACTATAAATTATATCTCTTGTATATCAATCCAGAGGAAGGAGCCAAACAAAATAGGACAAAAGTCAAGCAATACCAAGGAAAACGTTTGCATTGCCTGATATGGCCACAGGGAGGCAGAAGAGGGCTGAGGGATGGGCCAGAGTTGGGGGCCCTTCCCGTCAGGCGGGAGCCACAGCCTGAATTTGGAGAGTGCTGGCTGACCCGGGTTTGAAGGGGCTGATGAATGGCTCAACCCTTGATTTCCTCATTTGAAAAATCTGCTGTGATGCTCTGCATGTCAGATGATCTACGATATGAAACAGCTGTACTATTCTTGAAAGAAACGTAGACTTGGAATCTGGTTCTTCCATTCTACTCAAAAAGTCAATAAAAGATGACTGTCAGGTGCCTATGTGTACAAGGCACTGTGCTGAGTACTAGGGATCAGATGATAATAATAATAATAATAATAACTAATATTCATGGGACAACATTGTGCCAAACACTTACTTCATTCAATGTCCCCTCGGAGGGGTTCACTTTTCTATCTTCATTTTATTGATGAGGGAATGACCCTAGTAACTTCCCAAGGTCATAGAGCAAATGAGCCAGGATTCCAACCATTTTGATTCCACGGCCAGGCCTGTGAACTGCTTTGCTGCAGTCTGTTCTGTGTCATCTTATCTAGGTGAATAATACGGCTTCTGGTCTTAAAGAGACCAGTTTAGGGGAAGGAAAACATGTGAAGTGCTCCGTGCAGAATGGGCAGCAAAGTCAAGAGTGTGTCCTAGAATCACAGATGTGGGGGAGATTAACTTGGTGCAGTAGACATCTGGGAGGGCTTCACAGAGGAGGTGATGCTTTTGTTGCATTTAGAGGTGGGCATTCCCCTCCACATCACTCCCAGTTAAAAAAAATAAGAGAGGAAGAGGGCATTCCAAGCAGAGAGAACAGGATGTGCATAGAGGCCATCTGGGCAGGAGACAGATCAGGAGAGGGACTTGGGTCAGCTCAGGGTGAGCCTCAGATGCTGTGGTCAGATCCGGACTTTCTTTTGGAGTCAAAGAGGAGCCATTGAAGGGGTTTGAGTGCAGCCACGATGTGGTCAGATCTGTGCTTTAGGGATAAAGACTGGTAGCATGGGCATAGGTGGGAGAGGCCAGGGGCGGGAGACCAGGTGGAAAGCTGTCTTTATGGCTCAGACTGGAGAGGACAAAATGCTCCTCTAACGAAGTCTTGGTGAGCCCGGAGAGGAGAAGCTGGACACGACCCGTTTCCAAAAACGGGATGAGCTGACGTGCAGAAGAGATGGTGCAGCCTGAATTTGGGTGGCCAGTACCTCTGTGTACGTGTCAGGGTTAGAGAAATGGAAGGCAGTGCGCATCTGCGGGGGACGACAGTGACCTTGGTTTCAAATGTGTTATGTGTAAAGAACCTGTGGGACATCCAGGGACAGGTCTGAAGCTCAAAGTTGTAATCTGAACTTTCCTCCTGCTGGATTTAAAACCAATCAGTAACTTAAGAGACATTTGCTGAATGCTTATTTGCGAGGCCCTGGGGAGAAAGAGACCTGCCTCGTCCCAGGAGCTCACCACAGGGACAGAAAGGCAGAAAGGCAGAAAGGCAGAAAGCAGGGATATAAGTGCTCCAGTTCAGGTGAGCGTTGGCAGCAGTGGGACATGGAGAAGCATCCGTAATCAGACCCAAAGGCTCAGGCAAGTCTCCCCAGAAAGACCCTTGAGATGGCTTTTGGAAGATGCCTCCTTAGCTGATTAAGGAGGTAGAGGACAGCAATGAGGAAATGAGGGGACCCAGCAGCGGGGTGGTCCAGGATAAGAAAGCCAAGAAATGTGAGACAGTAACAGCAAATCTGGGAACTGGGACAGATTTGTTTTCAAGGGACAGGGTCGAGAGTAGCAAGTGAGGTCTCAGAGGCCAGCCACAGCCTCCTTAGGAAATGCTTTCCCTGCTGAGCCAAAGCCTAGAGGGGGCAGAGGTCGAATGACATCAGAGCCACTTGCTAACAGTTTGATCTTCAGGAAATCCCTTAAACCCTCAGTGAAGCATTACAGCCTGGGACTGCTTTGAACCTGGCACCTGGGACATGTAAAAGGTCAACAAAGGAATGTTCTCCTCTCTAATGTGGACCTACCACCTTCAGCCACAGCATGGAAGCCAAGACCACTTTTTATGTGAGAGGGAGGGCTAGGGGGATGCGGCCCTTGAGGATGGTCTCACTGAACTGTGTGGCCCGCTAGCACACACACACCCCGCCCCCGCCACTGGTTGTCCATCATCCCCGTTCTTTTCTCTATGACTCACTGACTACACCTGCCTTTTCCTCCTGGCTGACCACATTGTTTCAAAAAGCACACATCTGTGCCCTTGTCTCACCATATTCAGGATCCCTACCCACTACTGAATAAAAGTAGTTACTGCTTTTGGTTTTCTGCCAGGCACGTGGGATGCACTCGAAGGCATGTAAAATGGCGAAAAGATGGAAGGAAAAGAAGACATGTGAATGCCTCCCTGCCTCCCTGGGTCCCCAGCTTTCTTCTTCCCCCATCAGTCACCTTCCCACACCCATCTCTTGCACACCGGATGACCCCTGATGTTGTAACTGGGTTTCCATCGCTCCCATCCAACCCCACTGCTCTCTCCAGCCAGCTGCCCGGGGTCCGTTCCTTGCCCCATGAGCCCCAGTTCCTCGAATCACAGGCTAACAAACCTCACGGAGCTGGTGGAAAGACTCCCTGAGATCGGGGCCCATCCATAGCCTCTGACCGTATCTTCCTTCTCGGGCCCCTCAATTCTGAGTCCCTCCTGGAGATGCCCACAGAAACATTCCTTAGACCTGGTTTTCCAGCCGACATTCCTGGAGTCTGGTCACTTACTCAGACAAACAATAGGGGAGAAATAAAAGCCAAGAGAAGGTCCAGATCTGTGGATAAACAGGTAATTCAAGAAAAGGGCTTGGGAGGATTACAGTAGGAAGACCCTGGGCTCACCCCATCCCACATGGTCAACTAGATATCATCCACCTGCAAGTGGATAAACTAGAGAGTACAGATAATTCGATAGAAAAGGAATTTCTAAACAGTGGTAATGGGGTGGGGGAGAGGATCAGTGGGGTAAGGAGAGAACAAATAGGCTATTGGCGAAGGAAGAGCTGATACGATCCTTGCAAACCCACCCCAGATCCTTTCAAGCCCAGCTCAACCCGCTGGCATCCTCAGCCCATGGGATGGAACAGTGTCATGTACAGAGTGGCTTCCCACAGTACATCTCAGAGCCGTCTGTGAAATTATTTGCAAAATACTAATGCTTTGAATTTCTATGAAATCCTAATGCAAATTAAAAATGGGCAAAAGTGAGTATGCCCTGAAAGCTACCTTGTTTAACTTGTCACCTGCGGCTACTGGACCAAGGGGAGCCTCCCCTCGTGTTGTGAGAGGCCAAGTTGGGAATGGTTAGCTCTGGGTGAAGGACATGGGCTCTCCAATGACAGCAGGCTGACTGGGTCCCTTTGACACAACACAACAGCCTGACGCAAGTTGGGACTATCATCGGCTAAAGGAAGTTACCAATCTCGGGGGCCACCCTTAGCACCTGGGCCCTTCTCATCAACTCTGCCAGTCACCAGACAAACATGGGTCTTCCCCTTGGGCCTCTGCCTATGACCCGAGAGCTCTGGCATGTGCGGGGAGGGCTCTCCGGAGGCCAGCTCCTGCCCCAGGCTTCCTCTCCCTCTTCCCACCTGCACAGAACTTGCAGCCAGGATCTCATATTTGGGTTTTATTTTTATTTTACAAGAATATAACATGCTAAAACAGGGAAACAAGGGTAAAGTACATCCTTCTTATCTAGGAAACCAGCTCCATTGTCAACAATAAATAAATAGTTAAGCAGTGAGGAGTCCCTGACAGGCGCTAAGAGGTTCCCAGCACGTTCAGAGGTAGAGTCTGGTGGAGAGGGAGACAGGCTGCCAGCTCCCGCTGAGATTCTCCAGCAGAGGCAAACTGAAATTACAATAATAAATAACAATACCAACAACACAACAGTAATAAAAATAATATGCTATGACAATTGTCACAAAACCAACAACACATTATACTTAAATAATTTTCTCCTGGAGGAGCTCAGAGCGTAGAGAGAACAGTGTTGCTTTTCCTGGGGTCGAAGGGGGCCGCCTGGTTCATTCAGTTCCTGGGCCTGGGCTCCACCAGGAAAATGCGTGTTTGGGGTTGCCCTGAGGTGACAAGCAGGTCCTGATTCCCCGCCCCCACCCCAGTCGGGTTCTTCTAAGCAGCCTCTCTCTCCAGCTGCACCCCTGGCTTCTATCTTCCAAGGGCCACCGTGGTCCCTGGTCCAACTTCCCCCAACACTCCAGTAAGTGCACCTCACATCCACAGGAAGGAAACATAAGGTTCCCCTTCCATTCTGGGCATCTCTCTTTCCCTGTTCTCACACCCAGAAAAAATGCTGGCTTGATTTCAACGGAACTTTTGGGAACTGCCAAGAGATTTCTTAGGATCCTTTTCTTCCTCATTCCATACTGCAGAGCCCAAGAGCTGAACTAGCCGCTCACTGAGAGGCCCCACACCTTCCGCCTCATGGGCCCTATGGTCTAGGGCCGCATGGGGCCAGGGGAGGGCACACTGCCCCCCCCACACACACACATCAGGCCCTACTCACAGATGGACCTTGCTTCAAGCACAGGGCCGGGGGCCGCCTGCAAAGGTCACCAAGAGCACCAAGATTAATTTCACAGGAGCACAATGGCCCCTCTTCCAGGCTCTCTACTGATGTGGAAAGGGGCTCAAATGGCCAGTTTTCGAGGTATTAAAAAAAAAAAAATCTCATTTTGGGCAAGCATCAAATTGTTCTGTGGCCTTGCAAAGACCATGAGGCTGGACACAAATGTGGGGAAGGGCAAGCTAAGGGAGCCCCAGGCAGCCTGGAGGCAGGTGAGGAGGGCAGAGTGGGAAGGCACCACATCCGCACCTCCCTCCTGGGCCCGGGCACCCGGCAACTAGGAAAACAGGATGTAGCCAGAGTCATCTCCTCCCCGGAGGAAGAGCTGGTCTGGCTGTCCTGCTCTCCTTTTCAAGTTTCCTTTACCCATGTTTCCCAGTCCACCCTGGAATAATTCTTGCCCCGTGGAGAACAACAAGAGCAAGGATAACTCCTAGGCCGCCTTTCCTTTCCCCAGAGAGCCCCACGCGACCCTCATCTTCGGCCCTTATCCGCCGGTCCTGGAAGTGGGGGTGGAGGGGACCCTCTCATGCACGGAGCCCAGTCCCACAGTATCTGGAGGAGAGGCCGCTTCCAAAACAGGCTGCCAATGGGCTTTTTTCTTCACTGTCCTCTCGTGCTTGCTTGGTGGAATCTGCCTTAGGGACCGGTGACTCCACCTCTCCCCCCGGGGCTGGCTCCCTCCCCGCCACGAGGCTCAGGTGTGCAGGGGCTCTGCGTGGCTGCTGCTGGCCAGAGAGGCAGAGGCTTGGGCCACCAGGTCCCGGTAAGCAGGGGACTTCAGGAAGCGTGGATAGGAGTCCTTCTCCATCAGGGTGCGAGTCTTCCCCTGAGCCACGTCAAAGCACGTGGCCGTGGCAGTCTGCAAGTTCATCCTGGTCAGCTCCCTGGTCTCGTGGTCTATGTTCACCTGTGGGAAGGAAGGCAAGCATGTGGGTGAGGGGAGCGTGGGCCAGGCAAGGGGTCCAGAGGGCCACGGGGTTGAGGGTGGCGGGGAGGCTGACGGGCCTGAACCAGGAACCTGGGGTCTCCTGAGTTGACCATTAACTGGCTTTTCAACTCTGGGCCCGTCCGTGCAATTGGACGCAGGATCTTTTCTCCAATCTCCCAAAGTTATCAAGGATGTATGAAGAATGTATACAGAGCTAACGCCTTTTCCTCCCTGCCTTCGGACAGTCCTGGTTCAGTTCTCCGTCGCCTCTCTCCTCAGGTTAACGCCAGAGCCTGCTAACTGGTCTCTCTCCTCCACCCTCATGCCTGTAGCCGGTTCCCTAGCCAGCGATTAGAGTGAGCCTCGGAAAACTCAAGTCAGGTTGCCAGCAGCAGTGCTGTCCTCCTGTGTCACTCAGAGGAAAAGCCAGCGTTTGTGCTGGGCCCACACAGCCACCTGGGCCCACAGCTGGCCCCCTGCCCCCTGGTCTGACCTCTCCTACTCTGTCTCCCTCACTCTCTGAGCTCCACTCTGGCCCCCTTCCTGCTGGCTTTTGCACTTGCCATTTCCTGTGTTGCAATGTTCTTTCCCTCCCTTCTTATGTGCATCTGTTCATTTGTCACCTAATGGGGTGGCCCACCCCTCACTTCCCTTTGTAAAACAAAAAGACCTCATATCCGGCCACCCTGTACTCCAGGGCTCCCTTTCAAATCCTGCTTTGCTTGGGTCAGAACACGCACTGTCACCTGACATGTTATTTACTCATTTAATCGGTTATTGTCATCTTCTCTCAATAGTAGAGACTTCTTGTCCCAGCTATGTCCCCAGTGACTATAACCGTGCCTTGCATGTAACTGGTGCTCAATAAGTCTTTATTGAATAACGTGGAAAAAATTAAAGTGCTCAGAAAAATACAGAGGCGGCTACAAAAGCAAGGCATTACTATTCTCTCTCCACGAGGTGGCCCCACTCGCTTTGCCAAACGCTGGTGGCAGGCAGCCAAGACCGGAGGAAAGTGCAAAAATTCACCACCCACGGACCAGCCAGCCAGAGGCAGGTCAGTCGGGAGACGGAACCGGGTCACACGAGGTCCCCAGGTTGACCCGTCTCTCCACTCGTGTGTTTTGAGTCTCTTTGCAAAAGTGGGTATGGACAGAAGCCAGAACCCCTCCCTGCCAAGCCCTCCACCCCCTCAGCGAGTCTGAGGGTGACAGCAGCCAGGAGTCGCAGGGCGCCTGGCTCTCCTAGTCTCCGGCCACGGAAGACCATTCAGCCCTGTGCCACATAAGATCGCTTCCTAAAGTCAACTCTTCCCCGACTAGACCGCCCCCAGCCCCAGTCCTCGGCGGGGAAGGGGCAGCCAGGGTCTGGAGGAGCCCCGGAACCTGCTGAGGTTCTGACCTCCTTAGGAGCTTCGCTGCGGATGAACTCCTCAAAGATCTTGTGAGCCCGGGAGGCCAGCTTGGTGGCCGACCGGAGCTTCTTAAACTCCTCGCAGGCCAGCCAGAACTCCAGGTTCTCCTCGCTGAACTCTGTCTTCAGGAAGGCGTGGAAAGCGGCCACTCCATCTGGGGTTGAGGGGAGAGAGGGAGAGACAGGTCAGACAGCGGGACAGCAGGGAATAAAAGAAGAAAGACGGCAATTGTGGTTAATGGTTCTATTTTTAGGATGTAATTTTCTTGAACAAGGACCTGCCTTTGTGTTCTGAACAGAGGCTGGCACACTAGGGGATCATTATTATTATTACTACGACTATTATTTTGCCCACGCTTTTCAGCATCCCTCAGACTGGCTCCAAAGCACATGGGTACACATGTGCCATCCACAGACAGACACAACAGGGTCCTACTCACTTTTACTGCTCAGTAGCAAGTCAAATGACTCTTTCCACCCCAGCACATCTTCTGAGAAGTTTCTACTAAAAGAGAAAAAAGAAAAGCCAAGATTTTCATTTTGAAAAAAACCAGCACAGTAATGCATAGCATAAATCCCATCCGGAACTCTGATGGAAGTTGTAGGATTCACATCGTCGGGTGATTATTGGAGCTGACTGCTCGAACTCTTAATTGAGGCTATAGGTATTTTTCTAGAGCACAGTTCAGTAACGAGAAACCAAATTCGAGGACCTTCTGCCCCTCAGTAAATAACTCTAAGATGGTCTCTTCGCTGTCCAAAAATTTTTCTCTTCCTCTGACTCTGAACTTTGTTGTCTACACTTGCCTCATGAAAAGCAGGGCCTCAGGGAGAGAGATGAACTCTACCCATAACGCCAGAGACCAGAGCAGCACCTGGCGATTGAACACTGGTATTCATGTGGAAGGGCTTGTAGGGAGAGTGTACACTAATGGAGGAAGAGGCATTGACTGAAAAGCCTCAAGTGTTCGCAGACCCTGTCCTAGCCCTGGCTGCGTGGACAATGACATCTCCAGGTGGGGGAGTCTGGTACATTCCGACCCTGTCTGGTAGCTAGACAGCCCTGGTCTGTCGGTGACCTCAGAACCCAGGCGCCCCCTATCCAGTCACCCATGGCAGACCAGCGGGAATCTTCACTAAAATCTCCAGGAAGGGGTCACCAAGGCCCACCATTCATGTCCTAATTTCTCCTTGTATTTTCTTTCTTGTGGCTCTTTCCCTAAATCCGGCTCCCTCCCCTCCAGGGCCCTAGGCCGGCTAGCGGGGCTTACCCCTCTTTGCTGTGTTTGCTGCTCCACTCAAACTTGCCAACGCTCCCAGTATCAGAGCCCAGCTCTGATTTGTGAAGAAAGATCCCCAGCCGTGTCTTGAACTCTTTGGCTCTGGAAGACAAAGCAGGAACATGTAGGATCCTACACGGATTCAGCCAGGGCAAAAAGGTTTATGGGGTCCCAAAGACTTTAGACTGGTGTCCCCTCATTCCAGCCTCAAGGGTCCCTGGGACACTTCAGCTGTTTCCAGGGCTTAAACTCTGCTTGTCACTTAATATCACCAACCCAGAACAATGAAAGTAATCCTTTAGCTGTTTCTCAGTAGGACTTAAACTTTATGAGTTTAGAGCACAGCACACGTGGGCTTTTCCCCACTTAAGCCACACTGCTCTGTCTTTGTGGCTGTTGGTGAGCAGAAGGCAGTTCCCCACCCTCTAGGCTTATCATGCGTGTTTTGGGAACTGTGCGGAAATTGATTCCTGCTTTCACCTTCTTCATCTTTTCCTTCCCAGTCACCAGCTCCAGCAAGGACCAGACCTGGTTCAGTAGCTCCCTGGGAAGTGGGCACATTCCTCACCGGGTCCCCCCCACCCCCCCCCCCCCCAAAAAAAACCCCCCCCCCCCCCCCCCGGCCCCCCCCCCCCCCCCCCCCCAAAAAAAACACACCTCCCTGCCTTCTCAGGGCCCGGACAGACCACGCTCCTAGACCTGGGCTGTGAATGGGATTCTCGGCACACAAATAGAATGAAAACCGAGGGCTGAAGAAACTAGAAAAGGGAGTTCCGCCTGCCGGTGCCACTGAGCTCTTCTGCAGCCCCGTCTTCGGCAGGTCAGCTGAGGACTGCCACTCCTCAGAAGACGGGGAATGACAGAGAGCAGGGATTCCTTTGCTTCCCGCGGTTCTTCCTTCTCCCTTCCCTTGGCCCGTCGCTGCTCTAAGACCCGAAAGGAGGCATCTGAAAACCTGGAACCAAGGTGACCTCTGCCTCTCCACTCAAGTCACTAGAGTCCCATTCTCCTGCCCGCCCGGTCCCCAAGCCTGTCCCTCCACTCCCTAAGGACTGGTGGGACTTGGACTTGCTGCGGGCCGCTGGAAGACCCACGGACAAGCTCCTCTTACCTCTCCAGGCAGGTGGTGGGGAAGGCGGCCAGGGTCCGGCACATGGCTGCGGGTTCAGGGCAGCACGTCGCGGGGAGGATGGTGACGGGCTCCAGCGGTCACGGCGAACGAGGACCAGGGCCGGCGGCTGGCACTACCCAAGGCTTCTTAGCTTTATGGTGTTGCACGCGCGGACTCGCCGCTACCCCGCGGCTTTTATTCCCTCGGCGGGAGCAGGGCGGGGCTGAGCGCTGCCGACCAATCGGAGAGCGGGACGGCGAGTGGGGACGGTGGAGGCGGGGCCCGGGAGCTCGACGGGGCGGGGCGCCCGCAGCTTGCCCCCAGCTGGGCGCACGCGGCTGCCCTCTCCTCCGGGCAGCACCGGCGTGCGGAAGGAGAAGCGGCGGGCAAGTCACACGGCCCGAGAAGCGCCCACTCAGTTTAGTAGGAAAAAAACCCGTCCGCCTCTAGTAAAATCAGAAAACCAGCTCAGCGGCGGCGGGCGGATTTGCGTAGGGGGTGGCGAGCCGGTGAGGCACGCACCGTGGGGATCGCAGCCTGCGCCCGAACCTGCCCCGTCCGCACCGACGGGAGCGGAAGGCGCGAGCCGCGCAAGGCGGCCTGGGGATTACACTGATTACCACCCTTTACTGTGCTCCTTCATGCTCGTGGGGCTAAGGAAGCCCTTTACCGCAGCTCGTCGTCTCGTCTCCTCCGTTTCGGAGATGAAGAAACGCAGTCAGAAAGTTAGAGACTTACCCAAGATCAGAGGGTTGGAATTAGCAGACCAAGGGCCGGGGGTGGGGTGGGGTGGGGTGGGGGCGGGGCTGGACGCTTTCTTGAGCATCTGTGTGCCAGGCATCTTTACTAAGTCAGGTTAAATAATTTGCTCAGCGTTACGCAATTAGCGTTACACCAGAATTCAAATACGAATTTACTACGCTTTTTCCACTGCCCTCCCGGCCAAAATTAGAATCCCCACTCCTCTGTAAACTGATGAATGATCCTGGGTTTAAGCAGCAGCTAGTTCAGTGTCCTTATCTCTGAGGTCAAGGTAAGAAATTCCCTACCTCTCTCACCTTCCCATAAAGGCCTTACAGCTCCCCTCGACTCCCACCGGTCCCCCTCAGTTCTCCCTTGGGATTACTATTAATGAAGTTGTCTGTGAGGTTTAGAGTGTGGAGTCCAGAGCTGGATTTCCAGGTTTCCAGTCATGGCTCCACCACCTACTGATAGGAGACCTTGGGCAAACTTCCTAATCTTTCTTTGCCTCGGTTTCCTTATCTCTAAGATGAACATATGATACACCTATTTCATAAAGACGTGAGGATTACGTTAATTCTTAGTTCGAGTTCCCCAGGAGATGGGAAAGAGTTGCCCTGAGGCAGAGTCTTGCTTTGGAGAGTTCTCAGACCAGAGAGAGAGTGAGAGAAACAGGGTTGCTCAGAGGGAAGAGTTAAATGCCAGGTTGCCGCAACAGAGAATGCAGTTGGCCCCAGGGCCTTTGTACGCATTGGCCATTCATTGGATGTGGTTGTCCCCAGAACGTGGCTTAATCTTAAGCAAGGCAACCCCCTCTGTTAAGGCCAGAGGGACTGTGCTGACAGCCTACAGCAGACAATAGGTTGGACAGTGAGGGCTGAGGTCCGGAACAGGGGATGATGGTTGTGTACCACAACACCCCCAGGAAGATGCTTAGATCAGTGCCGAGCACATAGTTAGCACTCAATAAATGTTAGCTCTCAGACTTACTTGCTAGGGACACAAGAATTGCTAGACAATAAGGAAAAGTAGTATGTTTTTTGTATCTCTTGGAATTTAGGTTTTTATTTCATGAGGGCCATCTAGGAGTTGCGGTTCTCCAGCAAGGCCTTGAAATAAAGGGTCAGAATAGAGAAAGGGAGATAAGAGAAGAGATCCCCAGCTTAGACAGGTGGGTGAGACAGCCCAGAAAAGCTGGTCGGGGAAGGAAAGGTTGAAACCACAAAGGGGGAGGGGACAGGAAGGCCTGGAGATAGTAGTTGAGCAAAAGAGGCCCAAATCAGAGCAACGTGTGGGGTTATCTGTCAAAGCAGATTCTCTAGTTAACCCAGGGCCCGCGGAAGGTGACTCAGTTCGTCAAAAACATAATGTACCCTGAAGAGGAGCATCAAACCTTTCCCCAACCTGCCAGTGGGTTCATAGACAAGGCCCGTGCGGAGAAGCTCACACGTTGGCAGCCCCATACTGGGTGCCAGCTATCCACCCCCCCATCTCTGCTTCTTCCTTTCTCATGATGCCACAACTGGGTTGGCCTAGAGCAGGGAGAGGGCAAGGGTTGTGGTGTGCAACCAGGCAATGGAAGGACGCCTTTTGAACATCTGTGTTTCTCAGCATAATCCTCCATCCACACAAGGAAGCAGCCCACTGCCCTACCAGCAGGATGTTCTCTGGAGGCATGGGTCCACTGAGGGGAGACCTCCTGTGTCACCTGGGCTCCTCAGGGGCCGGGGCACGACTGTATTGTGCAGCTGCCAGGTGGAGACGTGGGTGGTGTCTGGGACAGCTTCTCTTCAAGCGACGAAAACAAGTTTATGGATGAAGCAAAGCGAATGCCGGTTCCTGCCCTCAGGAGTGCCATGTTGGAATCAGCCCAGACATGGCCACAGCACAACAAAAATCGTGATTATGCTCAGAATCTCCCTAAACCTTCCTGTTCCATCTGCATCCCTGTGAATAAGCCAGAGAAGCCTTTTAATTTCCATTTTGCAGACAACACAACAGCCAGTGCCTAAGGTGCCCTCACTTAAGTGTCCTGGATCGGAAAAGAGCTGAATCGGGGCCAGCTTTCCAGATTCCTGAGCTGGTGCTTTCTCCCACTGGACAAAGAAAGCAAAAGAGGCAAGAGAGACAAAGCACATCCAATCCAAGAGCACAAAGCTCTGGGCTCAAGAGGAAGAGCCCTTTCTGAGTTCAACCTGCCTCCCGGTTGCCATGGTTACTCCTTCCGTTTCCAGGCAGAAACTTTTTGAAGTTCACAATATATCCCAAATTCTCTCCCCAGCAGGTAGGCTGGTTCACATCTGCAATTTCGGTAATGACTCGACAGTTGCTGTGAATCCAGCAAATTGAGCCCACCTGTGAGCCGCACTGGCTTTGACATGAACCTGACCTCGTTTTTTTGCCCAGCACTCGCTGCACAGCTGTGCTGTGTTTCATGGAGGGTGTGGGGACACAGCTCCACAGCCTGGGTCATCTGAGATCGGGATTAACTATCCCATGACATCCCAGCCACACTGCCTTCCACCCGCCTCTGCTGCTCCGTCCACCCCATCCTCAGCCTCATGCTCTCCCCCAAGTGGAAGTCCAGGGAAGACCTTTAGTTCCTGAAAAGGGTCAGGGGAAATGGATATACTTTCTCGACTTCTGATTTGGCACGGATGGTCCCCCACAGGGGTCTGGATGTTCCCAATTCAATCATCGATCCACTGATAAATATTTATTAAGAATTTATTATGTTCCCTAGCCGGTGGGGAAATCACACAGCTTTTAGGCTCTTTGCTGAGTTTAATGACCTTCTATTTCCTCCTCGTGGAGGAAATGGACCTAGCATGGCGGGGAAGGAGAGGTAAAAGGAAGTTATTGGCAGGAGTTGCAATGGAAGTCCTGGAAGGGGCGAGATCAGGGAGGGTCTGCCATGTTGAACGACGAGTGAGTGGGATTTGAGCAGGATGGAATACATCCGGAACATGCTGGACAGGTAGGAAGGAGGATGCTCCACGTGGGAGAAATAACAACAAAAGCCAGTTGTAGTTTGGCGGCGCAGAAAGACTTAGGAATTCCCTATATACAGCAGAGGCTCTCAGGCATGTAGGTTGCACACCTGGATGCCACTGTTTGTTAGAAGCAAAAAAACAGCAGGAGCAACACATATCGTGAGGCAGCTCATGAAAGAGAGAGATCCCTCCTGAAGACGGGAAAGAGGGACCATCGTCCTGGAGGGTCACGACAAAAACTCCAGGCACTGTCCCTCCTGGGCAGGGGGAGGAGTTGCAGGAATTCAGCCTGGATACAAGAAACAATTGCTTCCCTCACCCCCCCCCCCATAATCCTTCAGCGCACTGGGTACATCTCACTGTGATGGCTGTTTTATGCTTCTCCCAATTCTCTTCCTCTTTCCTCCCTCCTGTTGGGAATGGGAGTTTGGGAGGCCTGCTTTTCTCTCCCTAGCCAGGCCACCAACCCCTAGCTTCCAAGACAGGGCAGCCTCAGCCACTTGGGGAGGAGGCTGAAAATTGTCAGTGGTACCCATGGCTTATGGGAGCATGTCTAGACTCCTCTGTATGGCATAGATGGCTCTGACCACCTGATGTCATATCCGTCATCTTTTTACACTAAATCCCCACCAAACTTGGCAGTTGGCAGGCTCCACCCTGCCTTGCATGTACAAAGCCCTGAGCCTGAGGTTCTCTTGGCCGAAATATCCCTTTCCTCTCTGTACTACTTGTTTAAAAGAAATGTCCTTCCTGCTCCTTCCAGCCAGTCCTCCCTAGCCTCCATCAGAGGCAACCGCTATTCTTGCTCTTAGAACCATGGGACCAGTGTTGACTCTTCTTAACTTTTTAACTTAATTTTGAGGGCTAATTTTGATTTCCAGCCTGTTTGCTTATAGCTCCTGGAGGGTAGGGACCATTCCCTTGGTCACCTTTTCATCTTCAGCCCATAGCGTCACACGCAGTTCGGAGTATGTTCTAAATAAATGTTGGCTAGACAGGAAGCTTGATTCGACGCAAATCGTAACAGCTAGCCCGCCTCTGACTCCTGAATTCTCCGTGACTGCCAGTGCCCAGTGTCCCCCGCACAGCACGCCTGTCCCCGGCCTGTCTGCACACTCATCCCTTGCTGCCTCTGCTCTCAGCTACAAATGCTTCTGCCATCATTTTGATGCATTCCCGAAAATACCAACTAAATTCACGACAACGAATGAGCCCTGGCTCATCCTAAGACTGAAAATAGGAGAAGTACTCAAGCACCCTGGGTGTCTAAATGTCTTCCCCTTTCTCGCCCTCTCTCCTCATCCCTTTGTTCACTTCTGTCATGAATGTCCCTTCCTGAGAGCACTGCACTTCTACTCCCTGAGACATAGAAACACGTTTATCGCGATGTGAATTTTTCTCATTTTATAATTTTTCA